TCGCCTCTCCGATCTGAATGCGTACATATAGCAATGGTGCGTCGATGTCGTCGTACCGTTGCGTCTTGAACTCGCGGTCGATCTTCGCAATGTAAGCGTGAAGGTCGACAACCTCTGCTCCGGCGTCCATCAACGGAGCTGGTCCTGCAGTGTGCAAGTAATCTTGCAATTGTGCCATGAGCACATTGCAATGCGGTTTCAGCAATCGTCCGGTCGGGGGAACGGGCATCCACTGGAAGTCCGTGAACGTCAATGGGTCGAGCTCTTCAAGTCTTGACCATGACGTCGAATCCCCGGCGATAGGTTGCGGCGAAGGTGCCGAATTGGTTGCCGATGGTGATGAAACCGTGCATGTGATGGATTGTTGCATGTGGAGCGGTTGGTCCAGCGGTGGAACCAGCATAGTCCTTGTAAGTGTAACGAGAACTTGCAACATTCGCGTTCTCCCTAGATGTGCAGGAGGCCGCTAGCAAGGCGGCCGAATCTGGCGGAGTAGAAGGTGGAGTCGCCTCACCTTCTGCGGAGCTCAGTTTCCCGAGCTGAGGCGGGGTTGCACATCCTCCTTGCCCTGATCCTGGCACAGGGAGGTCTTGTGCTTGGTGCTRTTGCACCAATAGCAGCTGCCGTAGCGGCCGCGGACCTTGTAYTCCGCCTCGGTCAAGCCAAACTTGACCCACAGAACTTGTACTGGCTGTCCATTTTCGGTCTGCGATGCGGATTTCGCCTTCCCATTGTTGCGGGACTTGTTGTTGCTTCGTGGCTGGACAGCAGCCACCTGATCTCCGTCACTTGATGCTGGAGTGGCTGCTGGGTTATCTCCACTGTCCGACTGGACTTCAGCGAAGTGCTGTTGTCGCGGACCAGTTCGTACCTTCTCCACATAGGTCGGCTGCCATGTTGACTTCTCGTGTGCAGCTGACCTGTTGGTCTTGATGATTTCCCTCGCCTTGTCAATGATCTCAGCGAAGGTTGAGTACTGCTCGCGATCACCAAGAGCCTGGCTCAATGTCGCACAGGACCTGTTGTAGAACTCACTGTGTAGATGCGTGAATGCCAATTCCAGATTGGGCATTGCCGCAATCTTCTGCCACTCCATGAGCCAATCCCGTGTTGCAGTGTTGCCCTGTGACATGGTGAACAGACGGTTAATGGCGAGTGCCAGCGCATCGTCGACGATGAACCGCTTCTTCCACAGCCGTGTCAGTTCCTCCCATGTGATTTTGTCCTTCAAGTCCGGTACGTCGACGTCGTGAGTGGTTGCCAGGTGGCTCAACCTGGTCTGGCATCCGCCCTTTGAGTTCAGGAACAGGGCGCCGATGTACGCGTGCTTGGCGACGGGCAGAATCCTGAGTTGCGTTGTGAATGCTTCCCACCAGAGGACCGGATCCTGCTGTGTGTAGTCGTCGAACTTGTCCAGTTGGAAAGTTGGCATCTTGTACATCGTCGGATTGTCATCCGCGTTCGTCGACTGCAACTGCTGGACCTCGGTCTTCAAGGTATGCAGCTGACTGTTGATGGTGGTCGGCGCAGCGAAGGTGCTGATGTCGCTGAGCATTTCCACTACGTGGTCAACGCGTTCCTCCAGTTGGTGGCTAGAGGATGCACTGGTGGAAGCCCCAGCATCTGGTCCTGGTACAGCCTGTTCCAGGCCCAGTACACGGGCGTCCAGTGCCCGTGTGGCATCCTCGTGCTGAGTCTTATGATTCCGCACGGCCCGCTGGAGGTTTGCCAGCTCGGACTGTAGGTGGTTACACGTGTAAACCAACCTGCTCACCAGCTTGGCCATGAACTCCTTATGCTGCTCTTCCGGTGTTGCCTTGTCGCCGTTCGGTTCAAAGTGCCAGTACTTGAGTTTSTCGWTGCTGTTGGCTTCATGCCGCTGCAGCAGAGCCTGGGCTTCCTTGCGGCGAGCCTGGGCATCTGCGTCTGCTTCGGCCTGTAGCCGCAGCTTCTCTGCTGTTGCCGCTTCTTCAGCCTGTAGCTGGGCAGCCTTGGCTGCCAGCTGGCGTTGTTCCTCAGCCTCGATTAGAGCGAGCTGAGCATGGAAACGCTTTTTGTAGTCGGCAATGGGCTCATTGGCCAGTTGGCCCGGCAGGCCCGTCATGTTGCTGACGTGGCTCTGGTGACGTGGCACTGTGTCTGACGTGGCACTGCTGATGTGGCACTGCTTACGTGGCACTGTCTGACGTGGCACTGATGACGTGGCACTGCTTACGTGGCACTGTCTGAT